AAAGAAAAATTTACAAAAAAAAAAAAAAAAAAAAAAAAAAAAAAAAAAAAGACAGTGGTGTCTAACAAAGGTTTGGGGTTGGTTTTTTTTTTCTTGTCTTGTTTTGTTATGGGATATTGGGTGAGGGAGAAGGAAATGTCATTCTGAGTTTTGTATAAAAAAACAGAAGTTTACTCATGCTTTATAGTTATATTGTGATTGCAAAAGTTTTCAAGAGTGTGTGCCACTGGGCTACTTCTGGTATATTTTAGGTAAGTTGAACCTGTGGCAATGTTTAGATCATTTGAGCATGTTCTGAAAAAAAAAAAATATTCGGCATGCCAAGGCAAGCTTTACATGAATCACCTAACACAGCATTGCAGTGTGACAGTTTACAAAAACATTTCCTTTTTCAATGACACAGCTGTTCCCACTTGCAGTATATTCTGTTGTGGTGGTGATGGTGTTGCTGTTGTTTTAATTGGTGGTTTCTACTATGCCTTATAGTGCTTGAGTCCAGAAGTTTGTGCCTCTAACATGAAGCCGAAGGCAAAAACATCAAGACAGAAACCCTTTTAACTTTGCCAAAATTACAAATGTGATTTCTTTGAATGTCATAAATGGGGGAGGAGGGAAGGAAAACTTCTTGGGAACCTGTGTATTCTAGATGTTCACTAGCACAAGAAAGCTGTAATACATGTTTTACAGAAACCTTAAACTTGCCTTTTTCACAAATTAACTGGCACTGTCCTTACATATATAGGATGATGCAGCTATAAGGGCAGTTTACTTTTTATAATTCAGACTCTTTTGATTGTCAAGGTGTATGGACTGTAATTTTTAATCATACTGCCACATGATTGTGAATCACTTTTTTAAGTTTGAAAGTGGAGAAAAGACTTTTTATGCTGGATGTCAGTCAGAATTGACTGCATGATTTGCAAAAACTCTAAATGGGGGGAAAAGGGCTGCATATAAAGACACTGCTAGACTCCCAGCCTTTGGTTGTAAGGTGCAGAGGACTTTCAGATTACTCAACCTCATGACCCTTTCCTTGTTACACATTCTTCACAAAAGAATAAAATATTAGGAGAAAACAAAGACATGTTAACCCACATGAAAAAATAAAATTTACCCAATTAATTTATTATATGTGCTGCTGTTCTTGAAGCTCTGTGCATGATTATCCTGCAGAATATTACATTAGTGAACCAATGTTAATATGCGCAGCATATTAACGAGGCCTACAAATGACCTACCTCTAGCTAAGAGACCAGTAAAGCAAGTATGTTTTGGAGAGACTGAAGTTAGGAAATTAAAATGTCCTGGTGTAGGTAATTAATTATGGTGTTTTAGAAAGTCACGCTTTTGTAAATACAGTCCCTCTTTTGACATAAACCATAAATTCTAAAATCCAGTATGCATTAAACAACTAAAGCTGTCTGTCCTTGTCCAGTTTGTTACTTTGGTAGAGATCTTGCAAACCCATACGTTTAGTTTGAGAAGGGGAGCTACTGATGCTTCCTCTCTTTGGCTTTTGTTTACCTGTAACATTTTTAGTTTTATCAGTCAAACCAGAAACATTTCTATGTAGTCAACAATACATTGAGGGTCACTATTTACCTAGTTAAAGGGATTTTACTGTAAGTTTCACTCATGCTTTTTCACAGTAGCCGTGCTGCAGGAAAGTAAAGGAATAGAGGGAGGCTTTGAAGATAGTGTGAAAAATAGAAAGTCAGACAGATCAATCTTACTGTCAATCTGTTGGTTTGGTTTTTTTCTCTAAAAATACAGTCTAAGTTGAAGTCTGTTGCTGGATTCCTCATTCACCATGCTGCAGGAAGTCCTTATTTGACCAATTTAAACTTGCAGTATTTAAAAATAAAGATCATATTTCCTGTTCTTAAAGTGTCATTTAAATGCATGTATTGTGTGTTGTTTGAGGGACAGAAATTGGGGTTTTTGGAAAAAAAATACTATTGTACAGTTACTGCCCCTCAAAAATGTTGCTGGTTAAAAATACAGTATTTTTGGCCATAACTTTGTACTATAGCATCTTCATTCCTTGAAATTTAGCTTTTCTGAAATATTATTTGGGCTTACTGTTCTCCCAAAATGCTTCTTATTATGATAAATGTTGGATAGATGTATTATCCCATTATTGCTTTTTAATTATATGTGCTCTGTCATCATTGTCTAAATATTAAAATTTCCAGAATATTACAGCCAGAACGTTCAAAACATTTAAGGTTTGTACAGTGGAGACAGTAATTTCACAGTATTATTAAAGGGTTTTTTTGGCTTGTGTACAATGCAAACTCGGAAGCATGGGGAAAAGAAATAATAGTTTGTATCTCACAGAAAAAATTCAGAATTTGTAGACGGTGAGGTGAATTTCTTCAGCATTTTGGCTGATTGCAGTAGCACTGCAAGAACAGACGGGTTCTTTGATCTTTTTGTTCACCTGTGTGATGATAGGAATAACAGAAAGATGCCTATGCACTG